TATTATATGAAACAATTTCATAACCATATATGAAACAAATTCATCAAAAAAAGTATTATACGAAACAATTTCACAAGATTAAACAATTTCATGAAAAAATTTCATAAGATTAAACAATGAAATTGACGTATGAGGGTGGTTTGTATGGTTTTTACAAATGAGGGTGGTTTTCATTTGATCGCTCATATATATATATATATATATATATGTGTGTGTGTGTGTGTTAGGAATGTGTATGTATGTAAGTGTGGGTTTGAAAATTGAAGGCGGTTTATGCACTTGCTAAAAATAGCAAGTGCATATGAAAGGTAAGGGATTGTTGAATTTCTTGAGAGCAAAAAAAATCAATTGAAAGTGAAGGTTGATAAATCGCAGGCTTGAATCCGATAAACATTATAAGGTGAGTGTATTATGCTTTGAAGTATTAGTTGTTGTATATTAATTCAGTTACTGTTGAGACTTGCTCTTTATGAACTACATTACATATTGTCCATGTATTCTTTAAACCGGACGAAGGGTGAACGAACATCCATTCTAAACCGGACAGGCATTGCCTAGATTCAACCTTAAACCGGACAAGGGGCGTTCGGGTTCATCTAAACCGCTCAAAGTTACTTGAAGTATTTTTCTTAAATCGATCAAGGGTTAACCGGCATAAGCCTTAAACTGCCCAAGTGTTATCCGGTATTGAGCTAAACCGCTCATATGTCGTCCGATATAACCTTAAATCGCCCAAGTGTTATCTGGTTTAGAGCTAAACCGCTCATATGTCGTCCGATATAGCCTTAAATCGCCCAAGTGTTATCCGATTTAGAGCTTTATCGCTCAAGCCTTGTCCGGATTATTACTTTCTGGTTCTAAGTTATTGTCCGGATTTCTTATCCGGACAGTGATGACCGGATTTCCATATCCGGCTGAATTTTGATTAAGTTTCATTATCAGAGATGTAATGGCGGTGTAACCGAGAGAGAGATGTAATGGCGGTGTAACCGCAAGAGAGATGAAATGGCGGTGTAACCGCGAGAGAGAGAGAGATGTAATGGCGGTGTAACCGCGAGCGAGAGAGAGAGAGAGAGAGAGAGAGAGAGAGAGATGTAATGGTGGTGTAACCGCGAGAGAGAGATGTAATGGCGGTGTAACCGCAAGAGAGAGATGTAATGGCGGTGTAACCGCGAGAGATATGTAATGGCGGTATAACCACGAGAGAGATGAAATGGCGGTGTAACCGCGAGAGGAAATAATCCTATAACAATTATAGGTAAAATGTTTGTATATGTACAAGTTTGATTCTAAACTGCTAAGTTTGGAAAGTAAGTTATTTGTATGAGATTTGTACACTCACTAGACCTTTTGGGTCTAATGCTCAGTTTTTGGATTAACCTGTTTTGCAGGTCATCATATCTCGCAGGATAAAGGCAAGGGGAAAGTTTAGAATTGATAAAATTTAGTTGCTTATAAATGTATTGAAGAAAGTTTTTGTTAGTCCATATTTTGTAAACAATATTACAATCTGTGTTATGAGTATGATCATGTGGATTATCTGTATGTGGAAATTGTGGGTTGTTACAATAACTCAAAAGAATGACTTCAGACTTGTACTCTTGAAATAACTCTAAAGTAAAACTCTGAAGAATGACTTCAGACTTGTACTATTAAAATAACTCTGAAATATAACTTTTTAGACTTGAATTTAAAAATAAAACTATATCAATAATTAGTTAAAATGAAGTTAACCCTAGAATAAATTTGAAGTTAGAAATTAAATTATATCAGTAAATTGAATTTAAACTTAGAAGAGCATCTGTGTCAAATATGAAGACCTTGAGTTCAGAGTTATTCAAATACCCAATATCTTTGAAAAAGACCCCATGTTAAAGTTTGCATCATACAGAGCAAGGCCAACCAAAGCTCCTCTGGTCCTTAAGAACCAGAGCCCCTGTGGACTCATCAACCAAAAGAAAGGCCAACCTAAAAGCAATGCCAACCAAAGGCCCTCTGGTCAACTAGAGCCTCTGGTTCGTCTATCCAAAGCCTCTGGGTCAAAAAAAAATGTTAAATACTTAAAGAATTTGAATTCAAATTAAAACCAGAGACTCTCTGCGTAAACATGAAGATCACCCAGAGCTCTTCTGGTTTCTTTATGATGGATTGGAATATTTTTCCAATGTTCAAATAAACTACCAGAAGCAAAGCCATCTAGAAGCCAAACTAACCAGAGGGGCTCTAGCTTACAAGACCAAGTCTAAGTCTTAAAGACTTATCTTCAAAGTCTAGATAAGTTTATTACAAGGCTTTGTTTACTTGAAATTACTCTGAAGTAAAACTCTTTAGACTTCGGAGCTCTATATAAGCAAGCCAAAAGCTCTGCATGCACTATGCAGAGGCTTTGCATGGAGCTCCATCTAGAAAAGAAGACTACAGAGTTCGGGTGAGCTAACTTTGAAGAATGACTCTTCAGACTTGTATTCTGGAAATAACTTTGAAATAAAACTCTTCAGACTTGTATTCTTGAAATAACTCTGAAGTATAAAATCAATCCCATTAAATCAGAGTTCAGACTTCTAAGTCTGAAAAAAAAAAGATTTCAGAGTTCAGCCTTCAGAGTTCGGGTGAGCTAAGTCTGAAAAAGTGAACTTTAGAATTCGGTTGAGTTAACTCTGAAAATTACTCTTCATACTTGTACTCTTTAGAATTGTATAAGACTTCAAAGTTTAGACTTCTAAGTCTGAAAAAGAAGACTTCTGACTTCTTTTTCTAAGTCTAAAAAAAAACTTTAGAGTTCAGACTTCTAAGTCTGAAAAAGAAGACTTTAGAGTTCAAACTTCAGAGTTCGGGTGAGCTATGTTTGAAAAAGCAAACTTCAGAGTTCGGGTGAGCTAACTCTAAAGAATGACTTCAGACTTGTTTGCTTGAAATAACTCTGAACTAAAACTTTTCAGTAAATTGAATTTAGAATAAAATGAAGTTAACCCTACAATAAAATTGAATTTAGAAATGAAACTATATCAGTAAATTGAAATTAAACTTAGAAGTAAACATCATTTTTTTTTTCGGGAATCAGTTACCACAAGAATTAATTAACCTAAAAATAAAATCAATTGCATCCTAAATTAGTTAGATTGATTGAATAAGAGGACATATGTCAATCAAATGAGTATAATTGAATTGTTAATGTAAATTGTGTGTATATACGTTCAAATGAGTCTAATTGAATCACTAATGTAAATTGTATTCAGGTACGTTCAAATGAGTCTAATTGAACCACTAATGTAAATTGTGTCTAGATGCGTTCAAATGAGTATAATTAAACCACTAATGTAAATTGTGTCTAGATGCGTTCAAATTAGTATAATTAAACCACTAATGTAAATTGTGTCTAGATACGTGTTTAGGCGGGAAAACAAGAAAACCGACTCACCAGAAGATGACACGTATCACCCAAGTTACTTATTTATTATAAGTATAGATATATAGGGGACTAATCAAATGAGAACTAATTACTTTATGGTAATCGTGAGGTCTGAGCCAATCATTTCATTATATTAATTGTATCACCTTAATTAAGAAAAAAGGGTGTATTGGTAATTTTATTAATATTTTTCTTAACGGTTATCAACGAAAGAGATTGATACTGTTTCCTTATTAATCAAACAAATTATGGAAGTTTTGTTCTATGAAGTTACAATTGAGAAAATAAATATATAATTTATTACTGTTAAAAGTTATTGGGTATCACAGTTGTATTCATCAACCAGATTTGATATCATAGTGTGTATCACAATATATTTTTGTTGTTATACGAAATATATCACAATAAATTTTTGTTGTTTTATGAAGTGTAACACAATATATGAGGTAATGTTTTCTTTACCAAATGTATCACACTGTGTTTTTTCGTTATTTTATGAAGTGTATCACAATGTGCATCATGTATTGATATGGTGTTTGTTGGAGGGAGGAGGTATTTGATGGAGAGAAGAGAGGAGGGAGGAGAGAGAAGAAATCTAGAATGACTAAAATGTTTTTAATTAATATTTTAAGTTATAATTACCAAAATTATTAATTTCCTAATTTAACCTTTGATTTGTGATTGAGATTGGATTTCACGGTTACCACAAACTAAACAGTTCATGCTTGAATGGACCCATATATATAGGTTGGTTATTATACAACCCCTTGCATTTGTACAACCAATACAACTCAATCTCAACCGTTCATTTAATTTGATGAATATGTAATTTCATAAAAGTTTTGATTGTTTTCTAATATAAAGTATTGATCATAGTTAATGAACCTTATTCAACTTCCATTAATATTAAAATCATAATAAATGAACTCTCATCATTTTCATAAATATTTCAATTTGTTAGGTTGCGTTGGTTATACAAATACAATGGGTTACATTTGAAACAAACTCTCTCTCTCTCTCTCTCTATATATATATATATATATATATAATATATATATATATATGCCCTAGATCTTGACTTCCTGTTTCTCCATAAATAGCTCTCAATATCTCTTTCTAGTCCATTGCCTTGGAATCTTTATCTCTCTTTTAAGTAATTTGTCGAATTGAAGCAACAGGAAGTATGCAAAGATCATCAAATGAAGAACTTCCAGATTGTTGCTATCAAGAGAATCAACCAAGCTTGATCAAACCCAGCAGCCCCACCCCGAATCACATGCTTCATCTCTCCAATCTTGATGATCAAAAGTTTCTCAGATTCTCCATCAAATACATCTATCTTTTCCAAAACTCTGTAACCATCCATCTCCTCAAACTCTCTCTCTCTAGGGTTCTTGTTGATTACTACCCATTAGCAGGAAGATTGAAAACCCTACTCTCACCTCATGATGATGATGATCATGGTGATGATCAGAAGCTTCAAGTTGATTGCAATGGTGAAGGTGCTGTTTTTGCTGAAGCTTCCATGGATATCACTGTTCAAGAGTTCCTTCAGATTTCCCACAAACCAAACAAGTCTTGGAGGAAGCTGCTTTTTAGGGTTGATGCTCGCACTTTTCTAGATGCTCCTCCTCTTGTTATTCAAGTAAGTTTTATTAATTTTCTTTTTTTTATCCAACCCGCTATGCGAGCCGACTAATTCCATAACGACCACCTGCTTTGCAGATAGCCCGGAGTCACCGTATTTGGACTTCCGTGGCCACAAAATGATTTTTATTCCTCATTGGATTTTTATTTCTTTTTTTTTTTAAGATCCAAAAAACAACACCCCATCTCAAAATCTACATCTCTTGTAGGTCCATAACCATGATCATGAGATTCCAATTTGACACATTTAAGATTAAATTTACAACAACTTTTAATCACCGAATTAGTTTTTCGTTTTTTGTTCGCTAAGTTTGATCTAGTGATCGTTTAAATCGTACGTATAGTTGTTCATTTTTAATAAATTACCAAAAATTAATATATAGCGGAAAAAATCGTTCAGATTTCCGTATTTACGAAACAGAAAACGGAATGATTTTATCAAAAGTCGAATATAAGATTGAAATATTCTTTCATATGATCAAATTTATTTCTTTTGCTTAACCTTCAATATCACTTGTATCCAGTCACGATCGTCCGAGAATAATCAGTAAGCGTAAGTTGACCCGAAAACCCACACTCATCAAAAGAAAAAATTAAATAGATTATTTTATATTTTATTTACTATATACAAATCATCGTCGTACTTGCAAAAGAAGACCTGAATGCTTTTGTGCTCTTCTTTTTGCTAGATGCAATGTGTTTACCATTATTTCGTTTTTTTATATATATATATATATATATATATTATTCTTTTTGTGGTAATATAAATGATTTAATTTAAAATTTTAAAAAGATTCATTTGATACTACTACTTAATTTAGCTTTGAATAATTATTACAGTACATTTATTTTATTTTATTTTCCTAAAATACATATAAAATAACCGATTAATTAATGTGATTATTTATTAAAGAATATAACGTCGGTTACTTCTTTATTATTCCAAAAACCGTTATTTATTTATTTTTTTCCCTTTTTAAATTTACTAACTTACTCATTAGAAGTTATCATAAAACTAGGGGAGGTTAATCGCACCCTTACTTTTTACTAATGTCACCCATATCATCTATATAATCATTTTTTTTTATGTTTTTGTCCTTTTGTTATCTTTTTTTTAATATTAATATTTTTTTACTTATTTCATTTAATTATAAATACATTATTATTACAAAAATTATGTATTATTCTGTAAAAAAAATATTATTTTTTATCATAAGTTCTATAAAAAATATTCTATGTTTTATTTTCTTTTTTAATATTTTTCTTAAAAGACGTTACTTTTTTTTAATAATTATTTTAAAGAAAAATATATGTATTTCTTTTTTTAATAACGATCCTTAAAAATCCAATCTTTTAATAGTTATTTATTAATAAATAAATAAAATTATATTATCAAACTACATATAAATTCAATATAATAATAAAAACATTAGATCTTTACGTATTATAAAAAGATTTATTTAGCTACTATCTCGATAGATTAAAAATCGGGGAAACTGTGACTTAAAAATCGTTTTTACACTTATTTGATTTGTAAGACAAGCAAGTCATGATATGTAGCATTTTTGGGTTGAAATGATCCAAATAACCAATTTTTAAAAGTTCGATGATTTATTTATTAAAAAATATATGTAAGGATGATTTTTTTTTGTAGATAACTATGACTCAGTGAGTTGCACGATATTAACTCTTTTAATTTTATTTTTTTCACAATCTTTTAATTACATCATTTTAAAAATATTAAAATAACCCAAGAAATTTGAAATACCACTTTATGTAAAAGTGTTTACATTTTTCAAGTCATTTTATAAAAATAACTTCTAAATTATACAATTTTAAAAAGAATAAAATAATCTAAGTAACCGGTTATTTAAAAAGCTCAATCATTTAATTATTCAAAAAAAATGTAACGACTTAATCATTCAACATAAAAAGAGTTCAACAACTTATTCAATCAAAAAAAAAAATTCAAGAACTTAATAATTTAAAATGGAACAATTTCTTTAATTWTCTGAACTTTTTCCTTATTTAAATTTAATACAAATGATTTTTATAAATATCTCATCAATTAAAATAACTAATTAAACATAAMAATTAATTTTTTGGATTAAACTATTTTAAGTTTTTTAAAATAATTACAATAAGACTTTAATACTAATATATATATATATATAATATAAGTAAAGATAATAAAATAATAATAATAATATAAATAAAAATATTATATAATATATGTCAAGTATACAGAAAGAGCATTAATATAATTTAATTAATATATATGTATATTAAATAATAATTAAATATAATATATTATATTTAATATGGATTTGAATATATATGTTTATATTCAAATAATATAATAATTTAATAATAATAATAATTGAATATATATTATATTTAATATATATGTTTTATGGATTTGAAGAACAGCACAATTCTCAATCATTCAACACCCCTTATTAAAAGGGATGCCATTAGCACTCCAATAAAATTAAAATAAATCTTGCTACATAATTGCTTGTCTAAGTGAGTATTTTACTTATGTAAGAGTAAATTTATGGGTTTGGTCCTTGTGGTTTTAAGTATGTTTTGGATTTGATCCCTAGAGTTTCTTTATTCCATAATAGGTCCTAGAGTTTGCATTTTTTTTTAACGTTTTGATGCCTACCACTAATGACTACTAAAACTCTTGCATTAGGTGAGGGGCATTTTCGTTCTGATACACACATATGAGTACACCCACCCCCCCCCCCAACTTGTACTCCCTTCAATGCACTCCCACCATAACTACACCTTTCCCCTCCCCCTTGCACCACTATACCCAAGCCCTTACCTAACTTTCAACCTCTACTCACGCAACCTACTACTTCTTCGACTCCCAACCTTACCTCTGGCGATCCAACACCTACGATGACCATAGACCTCACCTCACTTTCAACCTCCCTGACCAATATGAACAACCAATCAAAGGAACCATCAACGACTTTCCATCTTTAGTTTTGTTTCCAATCGTCCATGTAGAATAACCCGATTTTGATGGGTTTAAGCTTTTGATTTTGAGTTTTGATAATTGGAGATAGAATCCAGAGAAGGAGGCCACTGGATTGGTGGTAACTGTTCGATTTAGGTGCTACAAATGTGCATGTCAAGGAGGGAAGGAAATTGCAAGTAGGGGGAGGGAAGCGATGTGCTATGGTTGATGAAGTGGAGGGAAGAGGAAAAGGGAAGGAGAACGGGTGGGAGATGACCAGAGATGGGGGTGATCCTCAAAGGTGGGATTGTGTCTGTTTGGAAGTGGTTTATGTTGGGAGGAGGGGTTTAGGGTGGGTGGGTTTTGTAATGCAATAAAAGACGAAAAGAAATAGTAGGATAAAAGAGAAAAGACAAATGCACTTATCTAGCTGATGAGAGTTAACTGTCGTTAGTGATAGAGACCAAAATATTATTAAGTTGCAAACTTTGGGAGCTATTTTGGAAAAGAGAAACTCTACAAATGAAATCCAAGACAAACTTTAAACTAACTACATGGACCAAATTTTTAACTTTTATATGATTATTGCTAGTAAAATCTTTTTATTAAATCTTTTCTGAAAAAGTAAAGAAATTAAAACAAGAGTAAATTACATTTTTCGTCTTTATGGTTTGTTAAAAATTATTTCCATCCCTATAGTTAAAAAATTACTTTTTTCGTCTCTATGGTTTGTAATTTATTGTTACTTTCATATCCAAACTAATTCTTACATTTTTAAGTACAAGAGACGAAAATAGTAAATAACTCTAAATCACAAGGTTTTGAAAAAACAACGAATTATAAATCATAAAGATAAAAATAACAATAATTTACAAATGATAGGGACGAAAACCACAATATCTAAACCATAAGGACGAATATCGCAATGTTTAACAAATCATAGGGACTAAAAACATAATTTACTGTTAAAAGTGAATTCTCGAATTTAGTGCCTGCTACAAAATGTACAATCCTCCACCTTTCCAAATTCCAATCATAGCCTCGTACAATTCCGTAGATAAAGGAATTTTCAAGTTTGGTCCTTCTTCTAATGCAAAATGTCCCTAAGGACCTTCAACTTCAAGATTGAATACGTGAAATTGTTTCCTTTTTATCAATTGAAACATAGCTAACCTTTTCTTATCATAAAAACACAATAAATTTTGTTCTTTACTTTAATTGTTACAGGTGACAAAACTTCGTTGTGGAGGAATGATTGTGTGCACGTCCATCAACCATTGTTTATGTGATGGCATTGGAACATCTCAATTCTTGCATGATTGGGCATATCTTACGACCAAACCAATTGATAGTATCCCAATAACACCGTTCCATTCTCGACACATGTTCAAGCCTAGGTCCCCTTCCTCACATTTACCTTTACTACATCCTGCATTTACCAAAAACGTCCCTAACTCCACTGCCGAAGATAGCTTTTCCGTTAACCGATATTTACATTCTCAACCACTTGTTCCTGCATCATTGACCTACACCGCTTCTAACATCATGCGCCTTAAAAGTCAATGTGTACCATCAATAAAATGTACAACTTTTGAGGTCTTAGCATCCCATACATGGCTTTCATGGGTAAAGTCACTCAATCTTGCACCATCCCTCGAGGTGAAGCTCCTATTTTCCATGAATATTCGAAATAGAGTGAACCCAAAAATTCCAAAAGGATATTACGCAAACGGGTTTGTATTGGCATGTGCTAAGACAACTGTTAAAGGGTTGGTTAATAGCAACTTGCACAATGTCGTGAAATTGGTGCAAGAAGCCAAGTTAGCCTTGACTGATGACTGTGTCAATAGTATCTTAGAAATGTTGGAGGACAAAAACATAAAAACCGATCTCACTGCAAGTTTAGTTATATCACAATGGTCCAAACTAGGGTTAGAGGACTTGGATTTCGGAGAAGGGAAGCCTTTGCATATGGGTCCTCTTACGAGTGACATTTACTGTTTATTTTTGCCCGTCATAGGTCATCCGAACGACATTCGAGTGCTTGTGTCCTTGCCTAAAGGCCTAGTTAGCAAGTTTGAGTATTACATGAACCGTTTTCTTGATTCAAATAACGTAGAAGCAACCGGAAATTGTGAGAAATAAAAGTTTTGTTATAACTTCATTTTGAATTTAGTGTTTAACTCTACGGATGTGGCAACATGTTAGATTAACTTAATTGTAAGACATCATTTATAAAACATGTCGATTTTTGCTTATTTGTTTTGATTAATTAAGTGCAAATTCTTATATGTTCATGCATACTTTAATTACAAAAAGTGGGTCTGTAATTGATATGTATGTATGCATTTTTTTTATTTAACATACAAATCCAATAGCTATGTTTTGAATATATTATGTATTTAATGTAATTAAACGATCATATTATAACTTAATGAAAGAATGTGAACATAAATCTCCTTGTGGCCACGGAGGTTCAAATGCGGTGATTCCGAGCTATCTGTAAAGCAGGTGATCATCCTGGGATTGGTTGGTTCGCATAGCGGGTTAGATATCCAGGTTAATAAAAATAAAATAAGTTTTCTAAAATATTAAAGAAATAAAATACATAATATAATCATTTAAATATAAATAAAAATGATAGTAATAAATATTATCTTGAGGGAATGTAGTAGCTAATGATTGTAAGCACATATATAAAACATGATGATGATGTGCATTTAAAATGATTATTATTAAATATGAAAAATGTGATGTTAGTTAGAATAACAATCATTTTAAAGTTTTAGAAACCATTATATTCTATCAAGTGCTTTTCTATCTCATATACAATGATTGGCCAACTATGCATTTTGGATGCTTAATATTGATTTTTAAAATTTTAAAACAATTATCCTTTTAAAACAATTATCCTTTTGTAGTCTCAAAATAATTATTTTAGGTCTGTTTGGCTAGGTTTAAGGAATGAAAATGATAAAGAATGAAAATATGAATGAATTTTCATTTCCACCAGTTTAACCAGGAATGAAATTTTGGGCTTCTGCAGGATGATCTCAATATAGTATAGAAAAACAAACAGTTTTTTTTTACATTTTCATTATCATTGATTACTGTTTAATACCTCTAACCAAACATCCCCTAAACTATTTAGTCACTATGGTTTTATAGTTATTTTGGTTTTAGTCTCTACGATTATTCTATTCTAAATACCATATGGTCGTAAAGTTTGGGACCCTACAACTACGGCAGTTAGCTTGCATCTCCTACGGGCATTTTGGTCCTTTGTTTTGTTGTCTTTTTCTCATTTATATAAATAAAAATATTTTATATATTATGTTAATTATTTTATAATATATTTATACATATTTACACATAACTCTCTAACTTTCCCTCGCCGACCACAAACCCAACCCTAACCCTAACTCTAACTCGTATGTGTCTTCCTGCCCCATGTCTAGTGAAGCTCCCATCTTCGGACACCCTTTTTTATCTCTAGTATGATGGTTCTGGCATACCTACTAGCACACACCCCCATCGCTCCTTCTCTCTTCTCCAAAAATGCAACAATCGACTTGAATACATGCACCCTTTGTCCTTAAACCTGCAACAGTCAACTTCAACATTACTAATACAACATCCAGTCCCCCATTTCCAAACTCGAACCAAAATGTTGACGAATTTTGGTATTGATTTACTCGACAAGAAACCCCCATTCTCAACTCGTTCTTCGGTATGACGAATATGGTAGAATGGTGGTGGTGTTGGAGGAATTTCAGCACAACCTTTTGATGTTCCTTGCACCACCATAATATTCCCCTTCATCCACCATTGCACCTCCTTGATTTTTGTCCGAAAGAAAAACCTAGGACTCGAACCAACAAAAAATAGAGTTAGTACAGTTAAATGAATCGTACCACCACCATATGCCCCTTCATCCACCAATGCACATCTTTATTTGTCCAAAAGAAAAACCTAGAACTCGAACCAACAAAAAATAGAGTTGGTGCAATTAAATGAATTAAAGTTTGTACATATATATGGAAAATGAATCAGAAATAGTTCTTGAAAATCCAATGGGGAGTGGCAAATCTAGCTCTCCGACGGGCTAGGACACGAGTAAAGGCTATCAATGTGATTTTATAACCAGCCGCTGCGAGTTAGGGATATGGTGTTGTTACTCGTTGGTGCAGGAAGGAATGGGAAGGTGCAATGAAGGGATGAGGGTGGTTTGTGAAATGGGGAAGAAGAAGAAGAGTAGAACAGGGCCGACGAGCCGGGCGACGGCCCAGGACATCAAAACCCAAAGGGCTTCAGGACATCAAAACCCAAAGGGCTTCAATTTAAGCTCAGTGATATAATTACTAATAAAAAAGTTTCAAGGTGACAACTACAGGATTTGAACTCTAAACCTCAAAAATACATAAACACTTTCCTACCACTAAGCTATTAATATATTTTGATATTATTTTTCTTCCTATTTTAATTTTATTACTTATCTTGCTGATTCATTTTTTTCTTCCTTGCATTTCTTTTTCTTGACTTTTGTCTTTTTCATGGAAACATTTATTTATCTGAAATAAAATTAATCATATTCAACAATTAATACTTTTTATGTATTTTTGTTTTGAAAATCATATGATAATATTTGTTAATTTTATTATTCTTTTTGCCAAACATTTTTTTATGTAGGGAACTAATAGGATCAAACTGTAAAACAATTTAGACCACTAGCTAAATTCAATTCGGAACCACAAATATCTTTTGTTATATTTTCTAAAATCAAACCATGTATGAAATAATTTAGATTACTATATAATTTCAACTATTTTTTGTGATTTCCATAGTCATAAATATGATTCTCGAAGATTATTTTTTACTTTGTATTATATTTTTTGATTCGATGTTGAATCACATAATTTTAATTTTGTTGTCACCCGTAATATGGTTTGTTGCCTAAGGCTATATATGGTTGTTTAAACTACATAACACTTGCTACTCAAGGATGTTTAGATATTTAAAAATATGATACATGTGTAGTATTAAGTTTTTTTCTAAATTTTAAGACAAATTAAACATCTTTATATGGTCGTATACAATTAGTTTAAGCACAATTATCATTATATGCAAGTTTATAAAATTCAATTTAACTTGAGATTACATTATGATATTATATAATCATAAGATATACATTATTAAAAAATAGTTATCATTCAATAACAATAACAAAAATTGGCTTAGATATGAGATGCATAGCTTGATTGGATTTCAAATCCTTTAAAAAGTAGTATGCTTCGTTTGTAGTTTTTAAATAGTGGGGGCATTATTTTTACCTTCTCGCCTAGGGCATGAGAAACCCCAGGACCGGCCTTGAGTAGAAGGTCCCCTTCATCGGAGAAGAGGTTGCCAGTGATGAGGTGTGTGTGTGTGCGTGTGCGCGCGCGTGTGTGTGTATATATATATATATATATAAAAGATTTGCTTCTGTTGTTAACCGAATAATTGATGTTAACTTTGTGAACCAATTTTACTCTTCGGTTTATATGATCTATGGTTCAAAATCAATAATGGCATTCTTGTAATAAGATAGAAACACATGCATTATATGTTGGTGTGAACGTAAGTGAACAAGAAAAGTGAGATGTCGTCTATTAGACCCAAATTTGAGACCGATAATTTCTCCTTCAGGGTTTTGGTAACTGAAAATCTGATAAAAACAACTATTAAAAATGACTACTAATGAACAAGTGTTAAATGAAATGATTGACTACTGTAACTTCATTAGTAAACATCTTCATTAATATGGTTTCCTTTCGCTAGTGAACAAAATGGGTTTCACTGATGAACAATATCAATGAAGATTACGTAATCCCTATGCCACTGATGAACACAACGGTTTTCATCGAACACAATAATTTCAATTAAATTTTTATGAAATTGTTTTCATTAATTATCACTTTCAGATACAACATCATGTGGAAAAGAAGTAACAACGAAGCGTACAAATCTTGAGGTTGATTTTCATGATTCTTCATCTCCGACATTTTTGGAAAATAAAAAAAGTTGGCGAAATAATTTACTTACATGTAAATAATAAACCAAACAACAAACAATATAAATAATTACTTAAATTATATAAAAAAACATAATTGATGGACTCTTAAGTATGAAACATCACCGGCCTCAGTTAAAGTAGTTTGAAGGATATTTACCCGTTCATATAACCAGATCGAATTTATAGATTCGAATAAATCATAACGAATAAATCTATCGAGTACCACAACGATATATTGAATCACTTTTATAGCAAATATTTAAATTATAATTTATTAATTGAAATTTTTGTTTAAAAATATATATTTAAGTAATAAAGATAAACAAGTAGGCCACTAATAGGTAACTTTATAGACCAACATGAGAATATCTTACTTTCACCAAATCAACTTTCCTCAACATGCTGTACTTGCAATTTTCAATTATGTCCAGTAATTATTATTATTTAATTAAAATAAAATACTAATTTTGATATTTTAAAAAAATCGGTTCAGGGTTGTGGCGTTCCAAAATCTTTTCAAACATCGCGTTTGATGGATCGTTTTTTACTTGAAAATCTCTCATGTCAATGTTTCTTCATAAAAAAATCAAATCTTAGGGGTTGTTTACAGATACTAATCATGTAAAATTCAAGTCAAATAGTCAACGCCTTATAGTAAGATTATTGGTAAACGTCTTTTAGTCGATAAACGTTCACGGTGTATGAGTTAACACCCTCAATCAAGGTCGTCCTTGGAAGAGAGCGGATCGGGTATATGCCTAGGGCCCACAAAAAATAGAGGCCCGGTTTTTTATAATATCGTACTATTATAGCAGTAGTCAAAAAAATTAGTAGATAAAAGAGACATCTTTTTAATATCTAATAGTACCAAAAAAGAATTTTATATTATATTAAGGGTTCAAATCAGGGACGGACCCAGGAATTTTTTTATACGGTGGCACCATATAATTAATATAATATAATATATATCTAAAAATTAATTACAAAAAATATGGTTTTTATAGTACCGATAAGCAACTCCTAAATTTGTACCTGACGCGTCTTCATCTTTTGAAAACGGTCAATATATACCCAAAAATAATTACAAAAAGTATGTTGAGAAACAACTCCTAAATTTGTCCTCAGCGTGTCTTCATCTTTTGGAAACGATTGATGACATCTTCGTTTTTAACACTACTAAGGGCTTCCTTTTTCTATGGCGCAAATGAGGGTAAAACCAGTGTCAGTTTCAATAACCGGTAGACTAAAGGATGAGAAAGATGCTTTCTTGTTGCCACCATTAATCTGGCGAGGTCGGCAATACCGTTTAAGTTGGCAAATCTGACATCATTATAAACAGAATGATAGTAGATATCAAGTTTGTGCTCAAGAATGATCATTTCCTTGTCATCAAAATCTCGGGGATACATCTGACTCAACTTCAATAGGCTTGATTTGTTAAACTGAGAAAACGAATTTTTTGGATTCAAAGCTGCCATATTTTGAAGCAAGTCGGTGCTTATCTCACCAAAACGATCACCAAACTCTCGAATCTGCATATCCAAAACAGTGTTGAATATATCATAGTTATAATAATGTTGATTGGTAATGTTCATCATTTTCCTTGAATTTCTTGTATTAACATAAGCTTCAGCTATATCCAACTTCACGATCTTATATTTATCACAAAAAGAGTAGCATTTCTCCAAAACTTGATCAAACCCATTTTCCCTCAACATTTGTAGTTGACCTTTGGTTGTTCCTATAAAATCAATAGCTTCCAAGATGTCTTCATCTTTCCTTTGAAGAGCTTGAGATAATGGATTTGTTAATCCTAAGATCGTTGATATCAAGTGCATATAAAACACAAATTCAAATGTCTTTAAGTATGATAAAAGACCTCTTGCTTGAAGCCGACTAGCTCCATTATCACCATCATCTTCAACATATTCAAGCACTTGTATAACCTCTGGAAACAAAGCAATCAAACTCACAATTGTTTTAAGATGAGAATTCCATCGTGTATCTCCAGCTCGGACAAGAGAAATCTCTTGGTTTAACCCCTTACCAGTCTCAATTTCGTCATTTCCAATTTCTTCTTGAATTCTCTCTTTGTGACTTTTTCGTATCATATCTTTTCGTTTGCAAGAAGAGTTTACAACAGTAACAACCAACGCAAGCAAATCAAAGAAGTCTTTAATACCTTCGTGTTTCTTTGCAACCGCCACAACTACTAACTGAAGTTGATGGGTAAAACAATGTATATAAAATGCCGAGTCATTATCACTCAAGATCAAAGCTTTCAACCCATTGAACTTACCACTCATGTTGCTAGCACCGTCATAACCTTGTCCTCTTACCTATTTTAAAGTAACAATTAAGCTATTTAGCCAAATATTCAATGATATAATTAAGATTAGGGCTTTATTTTTTACTTCTTTAGGAATTAGGATTTAGGCCCTTAGTTTTCTTTTATTTGGGCTGAGTTTTCTTTTATTTGGGCTGGTTGGGCTTACTAAACTTATGTTATTAGATTAATCAATTTGTTGGGCTTACTTATCTAATTTATTTGGACTTTATCTTGTTTGGGTTTTAGATTTAGTTGCACTATTTGAAATTCAGAAGAAAAAAAATACGGTAGCACTTTTCAAAACGATACGGTAGCACCGTTAACAAACCTAAAAATTTTACCCTTCGGTGGCTAAATAATACGGTGGCACGTGCCACCCATGCCAACCACGTAGGTCCGCCCATGGTTCAAATATCTATTAATTAAATATAATGGAAAAGAAAATATGTACATTTTAAAGTATTTATCATAAAATTACTTGCCTATAAAATCTTGATATATTCTCCATCATTTATTCTCACTGACTCTTTTGATTATTTCATCTGCATGAGTTCTATTTTTGTATTAGAATACTATACATTTTTTGTTATTAACTAAGGGGCTATTTACCAAATTTTCTATTAAGTCATGTATGGATAAATTTGTCTGTCTACATAAATTTATGTTGTTGTTTACTTTTCTATCTGAATCAACAGTCTGAATAACATAAATGACCAATTTACCCCTGAGGATGAACTACGCGTTGTTTAATAAGTTGTTATTCATTTTTCAAGGCAAATGATATTTCTGAAAAATAAAATATTTTTATATAAAAAGTCGGCCAAGCCATATAATAACAATTTAAGTGTCGTGGGGAAGAAAGCTAGGGAAAAAAATAAAGAGGAATAAATATCCTCAATATGATGAAACCGACCCACACCGAGATAGGAGTGTGTTGAAGAACTTCTCCCCTAGCTGGACATTTTCAGATGTGTAGAGCCAAATGATCGATTGTTGAAAAAATGACAATTGGAGGGTTGTTTCTGCTGTGGCGCGTGAGAACTGTGATAGCCAAGTTGCGCTACACATCGGTTGATCGATCCCATTTTCGGAGCATGGTGCTCGTCTGGTAGGACCTAAAACCCATTACTTTAGTAGCTTGATTTTTAATATGTTATAATTAACACATGTTTGTATTATTTGACCTTTGTAGACACAAGCAAAAGATGGCGTGCCATTGACTGTTATGGAATTGTTCGATTATACGCATAAGAAGAGATCGAGTGGATATGCTGCATCTACGGATTCTAAGGGTACGTAACCTCTAAGTGTAGCTAGGTCATGGTAAGTATATCATCTATTTTAATGTTTATAATTGGGTACGTACCTATCTATCTAGTTTGGGTTGCCACTTATTGTTGGGCAAACATTCGAGTCGTTTAAATTAAAATCTAAGTGTGTGTGTGTGTGTATATGTAGGGGCTGGTTCAAATGTTAACAAAAATTATTGTGTTAACTTTGTTAACCAATATTGGTCATTGATTCTTACAATAAATGGTTGTAATTAATCATGATAAAAAATTAATTTTTTAAATTTACATGTTCAAAAAACATATGTGAACAAAGGAGAAAAGGGTATTTAGGTAAAAAAAAAAATTATGTAACTCCCATATCATTAATTGGGAGTTACAAAATCAAAAAATCTCATTATTTTTGTTAATGTAAGAACCATATGAACACATCTCTCTCTCTCTCTTTCTCTCTCTCTCTCTCTCTCTATATATATATATATATATATGAATCATTGTGTCAAATACGAACAAAAATTGACATATATATGAACTTGGACTACATAGCATTTACGAACACAATATGAACATAATAAGAATAGCTGCTACATGAAAGGAAATAAATAAATAAAACAGGTATGAACACAATATGAACAACTTGTGAACAATAGTTCCTTCATTATGAACACATTCAGGAGCAAGCCAATGTTGAGATATGCAGCTAGTATATATATGAACACAATATGGACAGCTTGTGAACAATAGTTCCTTCATTATGAACACATTCAGGAGCGAGCCAATATTGAGATATGCAACTAGTGTGCATATGAACACAATATAAACACTTGTGAACAATAGTTCATTCATTATGAACAATGGGTTTATCCATAATAGCTTGAACGATACTGAAAACTTTACTACCGGGTATCTTCTACCAATCACAAATTAAAAAACATCATAGATAGAAAAATCAATATTATAAAAAAATAAGATTAATAATAAATTAACAAAAAATTATAAATTCAATATTAGATGTCTTGATTCATGTCCCTACTAGAACATATATGAACACACCTGAACGTATATGAACACTAATTGCAGTCTATGACAGATCAAACATCACAAGCAGCTGATGGAGCCGAATGGTTGTCATAATTGGATTGCATAACAAATTAAGTTGACGATGAACTCATTCCATTTGAACATATGAATTATGCTCATATTAATAATTAAAGAAAAAGCTACCAACACAATATGAACTATAAAAAACACAAAAACGTCATAATCAACATGATTTCGATTAAAACGAATACAATAACATATTAATTCATTACCAATACAAACACTTTGATTATTGTCTTCACTTCCGGAACTTGAAGTCCGATTGTCATCGTAAACTATTTTAACATTCCCATTGTTGTTGAGTTGTTTTCCAATTAGTTTATCCATATTAGCTTGAACGATATCGAAAACTTTACTATCAGGTCTCCTTTAACAATCACAAATTCAAGAACATTATAGATAGATAAATCAATATTATAGAAAAACAAGATCAATAGTAAATCAACAACAATTATGAGATTCTTTTTGATTTTTTTAACTCTCAATTAATGATATGGGAGTTACATACAAACTAAAATTACATATTTACCCTTGTCATTAAATTATGAGATGGATATGAACCTAGATAAAAGATGAATTTTCATTAGTTGAGTTTGGTTAATAAAGTTAACACAATAATCTTGGTTAACATTTGAACCAATCTCTCTCTCTCTCTCTCTCTTTCTATATATATATATATATATATATATATATATATATATAGTTTGGGTTGCTATTTGTTAGGCAAACATTAGGACTGTTTAAATTAGAAATTTCGTATGTATCAATATTTAGTTTGGGTTGTCATTTGTTGGGCAAACGTTAGGATTTTTTTGGCTACAAATTTCGTATGTATCACTATTGTTTTGTCTGGAAACGTCTCATTTACAGTCGTCATGCTATCAAAATTGACTTGTAATCTTTTTTAAACCATATATAGGATGACTATTCAATGAGTCTCGCCCAAAGATATAACGATGATCCCTCCACCTATTCCTTAGTTGATATAGAGTTGTGGGAGCAGACGATTAGGGGAAGCAAGAAAGACCGTCTATTTGGGTTTGGGTATAACCAGGATCCTAATGGGTCTTGACTGGGAACTACACACAAGGTGGTCCATCGTCTTAAGAGAGTCGGGTATGTGCCTCTTTTCCTTTGATGATGTTTATCGATTTAGTTTATAATTTATATTAAATATTATAACGTTTTCTTTATTTTATAGGAAATTGAAGCCTTAAGGACCGAACTTAGAGATTTACAGGAAGAAAATCAGCGTTGACGGACGGAGGAGGAGGAGCGATGGCGAGCAGAGGAGGAGGAGCGACGACGGGAGAAGGAGGAGCGACAAGATAAACAACTTGAAGATATGACTGCTTTGGTCAGACATCTCAGTCAATCTCAACATTTCCCCCCGCCACCGAATTAAATATCGCCTGTCTATTTAGAAGAATTAGTTTTTGTTTGGAACAATTGTGTACTACTTTAAATTGGTCGGGATATTGTTGTTTAGTTTAATGTATGATATTTCGTTGTATTTCATCTTTTTAGTTTTTTTTATATTTACAGATTTATATGTTTTAAAACAAGTTTTAAATATTTACTGGAAAAATATTTTAAAATTAATAATTTTATAAATTTCCGGCCGATATATCCATCGGAAATAATTATTTTATTTAAAAAATAATTATTTTAAAAATAAAATACATTTCCGACAGTTTTCCGACGGATATATCCGCCATAAATATTTAAAGAATAATTAATTATTTTAAAAATAAAATCAATTTTCCGGCGGATAAATTTACCGGCGAATTTCCCGGTGGTAATTTGATTCAATTTTTTGTAAAAACTTAAATATTTTATTAATTTAATCAAGATTTCGTAAATTAGACCGGGGTAAAATTTCCGATGGCCATAATCCGATGGAAAAAAGAAAATCCGCCAGAAAACTAATCACCGGACGACTCTATCCCCGGTTGAGCCGCCGGAAATATCGACCTGTTTGGTAGTCGATGCTATAGCATAGAGGGATGTATGTCTTTTAACTATGGATGAAAACAAGTGAAAAATATGGAGCTTTCAAGAATTCTTTCAACTATTTTTGTTGTGCAATATGGGATATATATGGATTCTTGGATAAAAGCTAGATGAACTTATCTCGTCATCTGGTCTCCCCTAACAACGCTATAAATAAGGCCTTTTGTTGTAATAGTTAGATCATCCCTTATATTTCTATCCTTTACATTTCATCGTAAACACTTCTCCTTCCATCTCACCTCTTCTTACTTCTTAGGGGCTATTTACCTAAATGCTTACTCGGTAAGTGCTTACAGTTAGAAACCAACACTATAATTTATTTTTTGGGTAAGATTGTAGTATATCAAAATGGTATCGTACGCAACAATATATCTGGTAAGCGCTTTGGTAAGAGTCGTCAGCCTCACTTACCGGGTAAGACTCTTTATCCTTATCATCGCTCTTACCGGGTAAGATTTCTGGGTCTTGTCATGTTCGTCCGGTGAGGAAAATTGTCTGGTAAGCACCTACCAGGTAAGCGTCTGGTAAACAGCCCCGTAGTGTAAAGATGAAGCTTTTCCAGAAGGCTTTCATC